TTTGAGCTCACCGAAGGTGATCTTATCGCTGTTTTCGCACAGTAAGCTCCTATTACCATACAATTAATTTGAATTTTTGATATACATATATACAATTTCTTCTTCAATTTTAATCTTGTTTGATATTTTATTCGATTTCAGATATGGAGAGGTCGTCGACGTGAACCTGGTTCGCGATAAAGGGACTGGGAAATCCAAAGGGTTCTCATTTATTGCATATGAGGACCAGAGAAGTACGGTTCTTGCTGTGGATAATCTGAATGGAGCTCAAATTTTGGGTCGAACAATTAGGGTGGATCATGTGACTAAATACAAGAAGAAGGAAGAGGAAGATGAAGAGGAAGAGCAGAGGAAGAGGGAGGAACGAGGTGTGTGCCGTGCTTTCCAGAGAGGTGAATGTACTCGCGGAGCTGGGTGCAGATTTTCTCACAATGAGCAAGTAAGGTCTCCATTATCTGATTGGTTTTAGTTTTCTGTGAACTGCACGTTAATTTTTGCAATGTTTCTTCATATTTGGGTTCTGATGATTTAGAAATTTATTGTGTATAAGTAATAATGGAGCTTGATTGTTGCTTATTGCAATGTAATGGAGTATGGATTCTTTTTGGGAGGTGTAGTTGTGGGGGGATTTTGAGTTTGTTTCCAGTATGTTAATGTAGTATGTTTCTGATTTTTGTTTTTATTTTTAACATGCTTGAAGTTGGGTGAGTTTATGCAGAGAATCATTTATGTTGAATGTAGAGGGGGTGTTTTGTCCGTTCTTTATAAAATAAAATTTTATCTACATACATTGGTGCTCATGTGTGCTTTGTTCTATTTGTATCCAGAGAGCTGCAAACACAGGTTGGGGTGATCAAGACTCGAAATGGGGGCGTGACAGGTATGATGGCCCAAAACAGGGTGAGAAAAGATCTAACACTACTCCGTCAAATCGTGTTCCAGAGGCTGAAGTTCAAGAAGATTTACACTCCAGAGGAAAGGGATATGGGAGGGCCTTCAAAAGTCACCCTAAGCAAAGTGATGGGAGGGAGGAAACGAGATTGGGGAGACATGAGGATGATGAAAGGTTTGAGCTTAGATCAAGAGATCATGGTAGGGGGGAAGAAAAGAGACCAAGAAGGCGCAGTGAGGATGACGAATTGGGGCAAAATTCAAGAGAAGATTATGGTAGGAGGGAAAAACAGAGATTAGGAAGGCAAAATGGTCATGAATTGCAGCCAAAGTCAAGAGAAGATCATGACAGAAGGGAAGATAAGAGACCCAGAAGGCAAGGTGGTGATGTTGAATTTGAGCTAAAGCTGAAGTCTAGAGACGATCATGATCGGAGGGAAGATAGGAGAACAAGAAGGCGTAGTGATGATGGTGAATTTGAGCCAAAATCTAGAGAAGATCGTGATAGGAGGGTAGATGATAGTAGGGAAGATAAGAGACTAAGAAGGCATGCTGATGATGATGAATTTGATCCAAAATCTAAGGATCATGACAGGACAGAAGAAAGGAGAAGGTATGCTGATGATGAATATCAGCCGAAGTCAAGAGAAGATAGGTGGGAAGAACAGAGGTCAAGAAGACGCAATGTTGATGAATTTGAGCTGAAGTCAAGAACAGGCGAGGATAAGAGGAAAGGAGAGAGACTGAGAAGGTATGAAGATGATGAGTTTGAGCCAAAATCCAGAGAAGTTCGTCGTAGAGAGTAAAAAGGGAGTTAATGGTGTGAAGCAAATACGGATTTGCTTTGCAATTTTGATGTCTATTTCGTGCAATAACATTGTTCCTGTTGTATTTTCTAACTTTATTTTCTGTGAGATAGTTTGACATGCTTTGACCATCAATGCTTGTGCAGCTGGGCATAAAATACCAGATTTAGTTGTTTCCATCTTTTGTTGTTGTGGTCCTCTTTGTGTTTCCCTTGGGTGAGGTTTAGAGTTGATATATGCCTTGGACCAGCAAATAGTTGTGCAACTTTGCATAAAATCATTTGTTGATTCCCTGTTTCTATTTGTTGTTGAAATCCATTTAAATAGAAAGTTGTATCTTGGGACTCGAGTTTGATGATCATGGTGGTGAATGGATTTGGTTGGTGCAAACGTTTTACAGAGCAAAAAAACTGTAGTTTAATTTTGGGCTGAAATTTGCAGGTGAAACCACGATTAACCAGGCATGGCTTTGAACCACGATGTAAGAAGAATTGACCGGGACGGATGGGACATTACGGGTAATAATAATGTTTTGCATCTATGGAAATGCACTCTCAGCATTGCTGTCCAAGACAGAGGCCTATTTTGGCCTATGCATGGGGTTAATTTCTTTTGTTCATAAATAAATTTTTGGGAGCATTTTAAGAAGAGCAAGGATCGAGTCTTCGTGATGCAATTAATTGTTGGGGCTGAATCAATTTAAGTTGGTCTTTTCCACAGAAGAATTTTTGCATTGAAGCATAACCCGGACTAAAACAAAAACATAAAAATTTCAGTTGTCTTTTCCAAATGCAACAAAATCTGTAGAATTGTATGATCACCAAGTAGGCTGTTATATATAGGTAAAAACAAAAATACCCGCTCGAGGTGAGCGAAAGCATACTCAAACAAGGAGGCTGTCAACCAAATGCTGAAAGCCATATTTACAGTTTCATAGCCGGTTTCTGATCTCCAGTCTCCAAATGAGACAGAAACAAAGTTGTAAGCAAAAACAGGTAAAGAAAAGAGTGACTTGATTCATCGAGGACTCTGTTCCTCTATTGAATCAATCCGAATTGTACCCATCACTAGTGATGGATTTTCCGAGTTCTTTGGGTACTACCTCTGTTTGAGAAGACATCGATCTTCCGACTTCTTTTGCTTCTTTAGAGGTCATTGATTTTCTAAGTTCTTTTGGAAGTGCTTCTTCAGAAGAAATGGATATTCCGAGTTCTTCTGGAAGTGCTTCTTCAAAAGACATGGATCTTCCGAGTTCTTTTGGAAGTGGTTCTTCAGAAGACATGTATCTTCCGAGTTCGTTTGGAAGTGATTCTTCAGAAGACTTTGATATTCCAAGTTCTTTTGGAAGTGCTTCTTGAGCAGACATTGATATTTCAGGTTCTTTTTTAAATGCTTTTTTAGAAGCCATCGAATTTTCGAGTTCTTTGGGTAGTGTTTCTTTAGAAGATAATGGTTTTCCAAATTCTTTGGGTACTGTTTCTTCATAAGGCACCCCTTGTATTGGAGTTAAACTAGGCACCAGAATATTGCCTCCTTCATAAGTAGGCAAGGTCTCTTCATCTTCCACACTTCCCGGAATCTTGCTTGTTACTGTTGATGGGGTTATCTTCCCTATAGATTCCTCTTTCATGACGTACTTACCATCGTCTGAAACACGTACTTCCCTTCTTATACCAAGCAAAGTTCCATCTGCTGATGTGATAGCCTTCTCTTCAAGAACAAACTCATTGTTGCTGCTAAATGTTGGCTTGTCATCTGCAGAGGCAATCTTGTCTGAAACTTTTACACCCTTGTTCACGTTCAGCATAGATTCTTCTCCTGGAAGAGTCACATTCCCAGGAACAATTGGTCCCAAGCCGGGGTTTACAAGTAGCGCCTCGTTTTGATTCGTAATTTGCACTTCACTAATTTTCTGAAGTTCAGAATCTTTCCAGTCTTCAGCAATGGCTATATTGTTCTTGGTGTTCCAGGTATGAAGAATTCGGTCTGGACCGGGTTGCCACGATAGATCTCCTGTGATTTTTTTCAGTATAAACTTGTATTGGACTGCTATGCCAACTGGCATATCCTAATCAAATTTATAAAAAATAAATAAATAAACCAATCAAAATTGTTAAGAAAATAAGATATGAACAAAACAAGGATCAAATCCTTTAGAAGTTCTTACCAGCTCAACGGTCCAAATGTTTCCATCTGACCAGTTCAGAGGTATAGCACTTGCAGGGTTCCACTCTCCCATGATAGGTTCATTTCCCACCAGGAGGAAACTCTCACCAAAGTTGCACTCCTTGTGCAATTGGAATTGAACATGAACAGTTTCTGATGTCTCTGAGAAGCAGAGAGTAATTATCACTTGATATGGAAACTGGGAACTCATTGTTTACCATGCTGAACAACAAAAGAAGTTTGAATACAATAAACTTTGGATCCCAATTCCTCCTGTCTCCGATGTTGTTAAAACCTGCTTGTGAATTTTACGGAACGAAATTGAATTAGATGATCAATTTTGGATTGAAACAAACCAGCTACAGTTTGAAAAATTCAAACAAAACAAACCACCTCTGTTTGAGAAGGAGCAACCAATTGAAGAGCTTTGTGTCGAAGCAGATGAACATGTACATTGGAGTTCAAAGACCTTAGAAAGCAAATGTCAGATCGCCACAGAAGAGATTTTAAGGGAGGCAGAGGTTTGTTAATCATATTAGCCTTTGGAAACAAGGTTGTAGAAGATCTTACAAAGGCTTCCATTGGCTCCGTTTTTTCAGAAAGAGAGACAGAGTCCTAAAACATGTTAGAAATGAAGTACTTGTATATATAAGAGGCTTATACGCATGAAAAATGAGAAGGGTACGGATCTGACATCAGGTGGGATTCTAGCACGTGGCAGAATGAGGTTGGATTTGCTAGTTTTATACTCTGTTCTTGTGCATAGAAAGAGTTTTGATGCGCTCAACTGTATGAGAAATTAGGGGCCTTTCCTTGTGCGGATTTTCAGTTTTGCCTTCATACTATCGTTTGAAGTCTTCAACCCAACTTGACCAAAAAAGAAGTCTTCAACTCATTTGTAAGAAAGAAAAAGAGGAGTAATAATAAACTAAAGCTAAACAGAATATAAGTTTAAAACGTTGTTGCTTCTCTTCCAACTTCCATTATCGGCATGTTTGTACAACAGAGAAGAGGGCAACTTTAATGAAACTTCTCTTCTAATTTCTGTGATTGTACGACATGTTGCTATATAGAGTAGAGGGACAGCAAAATGGACAATTTCATATCATCAGGTAGGGTTTGAGGTTTATGGTCTAGCAAAAACCTTGTATTTTCACCAATAATCATTACATGAGCAGTGCCCGTCTCTAAAATGATGAAACCGATATCGATCTCTCAGCAATATCTCCCTATCATAAAGCTTAGATATAATCTTAGCAACTGAGTGGCAGTCTCCGCAAACACGAAGATTCTTCACAACCTGAATTGGTTGAGATGGACTCAAGCTAATAAGCCCAAAGGCAATGGCTAATTTCTCACTGTGAAGGATTAGGGCATGGTCCTTCATGTCTTCTTCCTCAACAAATTGCAGCAGATGTGACTTGTTTGGCACATATCCGTTTGACTTCAATCTCAGTGCCATCTCATCCAACTTTGAGTAGATTTCCTTGCATAGGGGGTGAGAATTATCGCCAACAAGAAATTCATGAACACTACCATTGACTTCGATTGAGCTACAACCTGGTTCTTTCTTTATTCCTGCATCTCGCATATGCTTCCTTAATCCAGAAACTTCATCCCATTTCCCTGTTTCGGCATAGATATTTGATAAGAGTACATAGGCTCCGTGGTTTCTGGGATCCAACTCAAGCAAATGACTACAAGCTTTTTCAGCAAGCACAACATTCCCATGAAGTTTACAGGCCCCAAGAAGAGCCCCCCATACAGAAGCAGTAGGAGGTATTGGCATTTTTTCTATCAGCTCTACAGCTTCGTCCAGATTTCCAGAACGACCAAGAATATCGACCATGCAAGCATAGTGCTTTATTCCAGGCAAAATCCCGTAAACTGGCTCCATTTGATAGAAAAATGTTCTTCCCTCGTCCACCAAACCTGTGTGGCTACAAGCGCATAATACATTGGTAAATGTCACAGCATTGGGCTTCACCTTAGCTTCTAGCATTTTTGAGAAAAACTCCAATGCATCTCTCCCCTGCCCATGCATCGCCAAACCAGCAATCATGGCACTCCAGACAAATACATCTCTCCTCTCTACCGAATTAAATACCTCAAGTGCCTTGTCTAGATCCCCACACTTTGCATACATATCAATAAGCGAGGTTGTGAGGTGACAATTCAACTTCATCACCTGCTTCTTTATGTAAACATGTATCCACCCACCAAGATCAATTGCTCCTAATTGAGCACACGCTGCTAGAGTACTAACCAGTGTGACTTCATCAGGTTTAGGACTCTTGCTTTTCTGCAACTCATTAAAAACAGCCAAAGCCTCCTTTGGCTTACCACTTTGTTCATAAGAAGAAATGAGCACATTCCAAGCAGCAATGTCTTGACTAGGCATTGCGGCAAAAACCCGCCAAGCCTCCTCATAGTTCCCCAACTGAGCATACCCATCAAGCATAGTAGTCCACGAAACAATATCCTTCTCTGGCATCCTATCAAACAATCTTTTTGCATCTTCAACGCTCCCACATTTCACGTACATATCAAGCATAGCATTGTTCAAAGTCAAGTTCTCTTTAATTTCATTCCTTTGAATATGTGAACAAACCCACCTCCCAAACTCCAAATCCACCTTCTTTGCACAAGCTGACAACACGCTTACCATCGTTACATCATTCGGCTTCACATTCTCCGCCTCCATTTCCTTAAACAACTCCAATGCCTCCTGGGGGCAATTCCCCTGCGCAAAAACTGTGATCATAGAGTTCCAAGAAACAACATCTTTTTTAGGAGTCTTCACGAAAACCCGACGTGCCAAATCCAAATCCCCGCACGACCCATAAAAATGAACGAGCGAATTAAGAATATAAATATCCGACCCAAGCGAGGCCTTTATTGCCATGCCATGAAAACCTCTTCCAACCTGCAAAGCCCGGAGCTCCGAAGCCGCTTTAATCGCAAAAGGGTAAGTATATTTATCGGGACATTCAGAACAGTGATCAAGCATTTCCAAAAATATGAGGATGCTTTCAGCCGGGTCGGAGCTAGACGCATAAGCGCGAATGAGGGTGTTCCAAGTGTAGACATTTGGTTGCGGAATTTGATCAAACACCTGGCGGGCATAGTCAAGACTCGAGAACGAAGAGAGAGCGCTGGCGGTGATAAGTTTGCTGGCGGAGTACGGGTCAAAGAGAGCACCTGTACGAAGCATTTGGGCATGGACTTGCTTTAGCTGCTTTATGCTGGTGCATTGGTCTATTAGTGAAAGAGCTGGATGGCTTGACAAACGAAGGTCGGTACTGAAGGATGGGGACGAAGAGTTTGGGTGACGTGGCAGAGAGATAAGTGGGGTGCTTAGAGAAGCCATCTCTTCTGTGGTCAGTCTCACAGTAACCCCATTCACTTTAAGGTTCCAAACCCCTTTATGTGATATGATCTATCATTAGAGCAACTCCACCCATATTGCCCTTAGCCATGGCAAGGGGGGAGCTAGGACAGCCACTATTCACGTGAATAGTGGTTGCCCTTGCAAAATCAGAATTTTGTGTTTCCACCCATTGCCCTAGCTAAGGGCAGTTACTATTCATTTTTTTGTTTTATTCACAATTTTATTTACCTTAATAATTAATGTGGATAATATTTTCGGATAAGATTTACGGGTTCCTACGTGTCAAGACTATTCATAATCAGATAAAATTTCGGGATAAGATTTTTTGGTTCAAATTTCGGATGAATTTCAAAATTCAAATTTCAGATAAATTTTTTGGTTCAAATTTCGAATGAATTTCAAAATTCAAATTTCGGATGAATTTCAAAAATCAAATTTCAGATACATTTGGGTTCAAATTTCGGATGAATTTCAAAATTCAAATTTCAGATAAATTTTTGGGTTCAAATTTCGAATGAATTTCAAAATTCAAATTTCGGATGAATTTCAAAAATCAAATTTCAGATACATTTGGGTTCAAATTTCGGATGAATTTCAAAATTCAAATTTCAGATAAAATTGGGTTCAAATTTCGGATGAATTTCAAAAATCAAATTTCAGATACATTTGGGTGTACAAGTTCATCGCTTTTGCCAAGGCATCTCTCTATTTTGCCATCTCTTTGTTGAGAAGTTTCCACCTACTCGACAATGTCATTTCCGTACGAGGCGAGTCCGGAATTTTTTCGCAAAATTCGGCATGAATTTTTTTCCACATATGGAAAAATCTCATCTCATTGCCTGTCAAGGGACAATGACAAACTCGGAGCCAAGCCTCACACAAAGAAACATCTTCCATGGTGCTCCACGCCCCTCCGGTTTCAATAGAAGAAGCCATAAAAATAAAAAATAAAATTACAAGGTGAAAGAGATGAAAATGTTGAGTGAAGAGTGAAGAAAATGTTGAGTGAAGAGTGAAAAATATGTTGAGTAATTGTAGAAGTAGAATAAAATGTATGAGAATTGGTGTTGAAAGTGAAGGGTATTTATAGGTATTTATACACGCGGCATTGCACGCGCCAACGTTAAAAAAATTTGAAAACCGCGTGACGACGTCAGCCTGACGTCGTCATGACGTCACCTCCACCTCGTTTTGGACCTAGGGCGAAAGTTGCCTTCGGGCCAGCCCGGGTTGGTGGGTCCCCCACCCCCCCCCGGCCTGGGCTGCCTGGCTGGGAGGGTGGCTGGAACGACATTTTTGTTTTTTTCCCCCCTCCCCTCGGGCTGGGCTGCATGGTTGGAATGGCTCTTATCACAATCGCGTGCCACGTCACGTATGATTTTCATTTTTATTTTTTGATGTGTTCACATATTTATAAAAAACAAAGAATAATTCTAGAATGGGAGGGAATTTCATCATATGGATGTCTTTTGGTTTTGATCCTCCACTTATGTTCAAAAAAATGTCACTTGAGGTTTGAGGGTTAAGCATTTGGAGTTGGAAGTTCAATATTTAGATTTAACAGTCTAATATGATATAGTTTTAAGCGTAAGTGCAAGATTAATAAGAAGAAGAAAACAACTTCGATTTATCAAATACAAGGTAGGGAGAAGAAAAGTCAGCGATTAATAAATAATTTTTTTTTTTAAAATTTTGTCACAGAGTGGGCGAAATCTAATTCACATACATTAACTATTAGAAATCTTCTATACGACTCAACTTAATTATT